TCAAAAAATGTCCCTACATCTTTGTTTTCAACCAATGAACAGTGTTGCGTCTATGTGTTATCAGAAATGATCCAATATCACCTTTAGCCAAAATTCAGAAATGCTTTAAATCATTTTTCAAACTTTAATTGTCTGAACAAACCATTTTGTACTAAATGCAGCGTCCATTAAAAGCTGCAGTTCTCTTTCTAGCACCAGTTTCATCTGTGCATGTGATTGTTCTTAAATGAGAAACGAGCCACGGTTCAGAGGTTGAAAACACTGCTTTAAATATCCGTATTACCAAGATCATGCAGTCAAAATCAATAATTCTAAACTTCTCCGCGTCTATAACTTTAAATAATACTAGTTTCAATAATAGAGCTCCTCTACTTTAAATATACTGCTGTTCTAATCTCCTTGTGTCTCATGCTAAAGCAAGAGTCGAATTAATTTTAACGATTGTCCTGTATTCTTTCATGCAGCTAAATGTGGTGTTATGAACGAATGACCTAAATGTGTAAATATGACTTAATATGTCTCTGTGCGTTTGTTGTCTGTCTGTATATTTACCTTCTGTGTGTCTCATTTAGGCCAGCCACGTCTTCCTCAAATGTCCGTTAATGTCTTTCTTTTACTCATGGCGTCTTTCAATGTCTTTTGTCTCATAGTGTCCAATGTCTTTGTCTCCATGTCTTTTTTCTTCTTCTTCCAACAATCACTTTCTTTCTTCTTCCGATAACTCTTTCTCACAATGTCTTTCTTCTTCTTTCAACAATCACTTTCTTTCTTCTTCCGATAACTTTTCCTCATAATGTCTTTCTTCTTCTTTCATATCTGACGCACCCAAATGTGTCGTGTCCTTCTTCTTCTTGTTTGGTTTTCCGGCGGTTGGCGGCCTATTCTTCGCATTACCGCCACCTTCTGTTTCGTGGATGGGACAACACTCAGTTTGTGAAAAAGTCTGCGGTCTTTTCTTTGCCTCCTCACAGGCAGGAGAAGTCTTCTTCGAGAGTTCCTGTTAGCTGCTGCAGCCGATGCTGCCCCCTGCGACCCGCAGGGAGAGGGGGAGACGCTGATGATGATGATGATGATGCTCGGTTGTGGTTTGTGGCAGGGACGATTTTTGGCCAAATGAAACAGACAGAAGTTTTCTCGGAAAAAACAGACAAACAAGAAACACAAACAAGTGTGTTAATTACCATACAAAACCAATGATTAATTATACTATTTTTCCAAAAGTATAATGCTCTCTAAAATCATTCTAACTTTTATATCACCAAAATGTAGGGAAAAAAAAACTTGTCTAGACGCCTTGGAGATAAAAAATAAAATAATGCCTCTTTATAATCTAACTCAAAGTTCTGTGATCCTATGACTCCATGTCAGTAACATTATCGTGTGTATAAATGTAATTTTCTACAAAAAATTCTTTCTTCACGAGAGAGAGAGAGAGAGAGAGAGAGAGAGGGGAGAGAGAGAGGACAGAACGAGGGAGGGGAGGGGCCTCCCGAACAAAGGAAGCATGGAGTCAAATACTTTTCTCGTTTTTCTCGTGACAAGGTTCTAAATCAGTGGTAAAAGTTTTTCTCACGTCAAACGACACTTTACATTTTATCCTTAAATACGTCAGTAATGGAAAACATTACTATTTGCTTACATGAGTAATAGTCCCAGCAGAATCTCTTTTTTTTTTTTGATTCTCTGTGACTATTAAACATTACATCAGAATAAGAGAAAAACTTCCATAACTGATCATTTCTTCACATGAAACTCGTATACTACAGCCAAGAGGCTCTCTTTTTCCTCATTAATCAGATCATTATTATCAGAATCCACATTTTAAATACTTGGCTTTTCTTCTGTTTAAATTAATTGTGCCCTTTTCCCCGCCCCCGGGGGATATAGAAGGTTTTATTATCCTATCACTTCTGACCCTAACTATCCCTATCTCTCTAATCCTATTTATCTAAACAGTTGTGCCTCTTTTGCACTTATACCCCTGTGGCTCTTTTCATCATCTGTTCTGTTTTTTAAGGAGGGACCAATGCTTCCCCCAAGGTTAAAACGTCTAAACCTGACTATTGTTCTATCGCGTCCGATAGAACGCCCCGTCACGGCGGTCGCCTGGCCACGCTGCAGTCCGTCGAGCCGAATTCTCTCTCTCTCTTCCATTTAAAACAATGGTGCAGATTTTCAAAAGTAACGATCCGCTTACCTCTTTCGAAGAGAAGAGAGAAGAGAAGAGAGAATTCTCCCGGCCCACGGACCCAGTCTATATTTGAGCTCATCTCTGTCTTTCCCCTGCACCATCACGTCGGGGGTCTCCAAATGAAGTCAATAATTCCCTTGACTGACGTGTTCGAGTTGATGCAGAGGCATGACAACAGATCTCCAAGTTTTAACATCTGTATTTAATTATCTTTACAATCAGATACAGAAATTCCAACAAAGAGGGCTCCTAAAACTATGCATGTCCCTGGCTCGCCCTCGGCTCATTCTCCTGTGTCCTCTCAAGCCAGAGCATTATCAGTCCATGTTCAGGAAGCAGGGGGCGTGTCGTATCAGGCAGGACTTGGGTCCGGCCTCTTCCATCATGTCCCCTCTGTCTGCCGTACCTTAAACAGAATCATTCACACACACTACCACTCCCCAAATTTATTACTTCTTTGAGATAAGGCAGAAGGCTCTCTGGGTCCCCCTCCTTCAGGATTAGCAGAATCCCCCCCCAGATTACCTATCATTAACTCACCCATGCACTTTGGACTAACAAAGGAACATGGGGAAACCAGGTCTTTTTGCTTTAGGAAAAGACAGTTCAAATCAGGGTCAGCCAATATTCACATCTGCATAGTTAAAATATACAACAATCCCAATTTATTTGTTGAGCTGCAGAAAGAAAGCTTTCATAATTTTTTTTTGGGGATATCAGTGATGACATTGGACGAGGGAGAAGATCGGAAGCGGCTGCATCAAGAAATGTGGAAAGGAGAACCCATTTGCTGTGGTAATGCAAATCAGAAAGACAAATACAAGAAAAAGCAGACAATAATTATGCAGTTTCATACCAGAGTCCCAGTGTGCTTCATGCGAGGACCATCATGACAATAACAGAAGTTGGGTGATAATCACGAGATGTAAACCAATGTGAAAGAGGCACACATAAGAGCCGCAGCTCTTTTGCGGGTATGCTACTAGACCAAGAAGCTAGTTAACTTCCAGATAGAACTGTGGTAGCTGTATGAAGTGAAAACTTGCAACGTTATCCCAGTACAAGAGGTTGAATCCAGACACGCAACTATGAAAGGACAGAAAGTCCTAGTCATGTACAACAAGAGCAGATTGAACCACTAGGAAAATTGCAGAGTCAAACTGAGAAATCCAAGAAATGGGTGGGTTGACATCAGGAGGATAGGTATCCCTTACTATGCAGAAAAGCTGTGAGGCAATGGCCTGATCAAAGTTCAGTATGAGAACATGTTGGCTTAAATAGCATAGTGAACAAAAGGAATGCACTGAGAAGCCCGAACAGAACAATGAACAACTGAATATGGACAAAATAATAAACTGAGTATTTTGGAGATGTTTTTCGCACGGACAGGTACATGAGGCTGCTTTAGAGGGTCGAGTACAAGAATTGAAATTCAACAACAGTGGTACCACCGGTAAAGTCTGCCCAAACGCAAGTGCCTGTAGTGGGGAGATGAAGGCCCGCTAAAAGAAGAACAGAATGAAACTGGAGGCAAAAGGAATAATTGCCCCAGAAGAACGCAGCACGGACTGGATTAGGCTAGCATGGTCTCGTGGACAAAACCAAATAGGAAACCGAGGATCTGCAGTCGACCCCAAGCGCACTGATAGAAGCAGGGAAGAGAAGTGCGCGATTTCCCCTCCCCAACATTGATTACAATTTTATGGCGCCGAGTTAATCAAATGCCCAGGTATTCACAGTTTTGATAGTGAAACATGCTTGTTGGCACGTCAAATTGGACGAAGAGTCGAGCTACCTCACTCACTTTGCAACCCCATTTGGGCGGTACCAGTAGGCTCAGAATCCAATGGGTATCAGTCCAGCCCCAGAAGTGTTCCAACGGAAGCTCATGTTGCAGGCCACTGATGGCTTGCCGGGGTATATGTCATTGCCTGATGAGTGTTTGGTGACAGGTGAGGGAGTGACGTCAAGAAAAGGCAAATGAGAATCACAATGAGAACTTGACGACGTTCTTCCTACAGAGATTGTAGACAGAAAGACATAAGGTTGAATGTGGACAAATTTAATTTGAGGAAGCAGTCGGTTTCCTTACGTTGGACTTTTACTGACCGCAGAGGGTCTCAGGATTGCCCAGAGATAGGTGCGTGCAATAAGAGAGTTGCCCAGGCCCACAGATGTTAAGGGTACAGAGACTTGTAGGCCAGTTGAACTATTTGACTAAAATTTTGTGACCACCTTCTTTGATAGACACGGGCAGTTTTTTAGAAGGGCTGTGGAGTTTTTGAGACAGTTGACTCACAGGGACAATTTGTTGGGAGTGGGACTGTGTACAAGAGAAAACACGAGGATAGGAGCGTAAGGACAAAATAATAAATTCGCCACACTTAGTATACACCAGAGTGAGGAGCTCAAAGAACAAAAGAGACATTGACTTGGATATTCACACTATTTTGCTTTTCAGGAGGAGCTGAGTTTCAAGAGGAATTGTATTCAGGAGAGCAAAGGGCAGTAATGCCCTGATCATCACCGAGAGATCCCTGACCTTACCGCCGTATACACTCTTCGCATGCTGGGAGTTGAAGGATGTCTCAGACGAGCATCGGGGTAGTTGGGGGGGGGGTGTTTACTGGCAGGGAATGACAGAACAGATACAGACCCATATAGCAAAATGGTGACATCTGGTCATCATGTTGACACAAAGACAACAGAAGATGACTTTGCAACCCAGGAACATTTCCTTTAGACGCGCTGCTGCTGCAATGAGTGGGGCCCGCCACTCTCTGTACGCGTGGAGCGCCTTGGGCGGCTCCTAGATGGATCCGGTAGTGAAGGAGGCTCCTTCGGAGGGGTCCGCCCATGCCGTGGCCGGCCTGCTCCTGCCGCCTGCCTGCCCACGGCCCTCTGGTCTAAGCGTGCGGCTGTGTCTCACTGATTCTTCGGGAGTAGCTCCGCAGAGGCAGCGTAGGTGCCTGCAGTGTTGTCTCTTGCACGGATGGACCACCTTGCGTCCGAGATGGCCCAATGAAGGCACTTCTCGCGGTATGTTCGCCGCCGGTTCGAGGAAAGTGCTGGGCCCACCTGTGGCCGGACCTGGCCCCGTTGTGGGGAGACGATGTGACATGTTCTGTGGCTGCAGCGACACTCTTTTCGTCTTGACCCTGAGGAGGTTGATATTCCAGGGCCTCTGTCGGCTGGTCCTTGGCGTCCACGGGGTGCTGGACGTGAGGATGAGTGAGGGCGGTCCTCTGCCGTCCGCTCTGCACTCGCCCACTTGGGGCTTATGTCCCGCAGGGAAACTGGGTTGGCCGTCTGGTAGCGCCTTCTTTACGCGACAAGCGGCCCCCCCCCTTCCCTCTGTCTTCGTGCCTCCTTCGATGGAGTATACGTGAAGGAGTTACATAGCATGCTGGACGGATACAAAGGCTATGTCCAGACTGCGACGTCCGATGGCCGGCGTGTGGGATATGGGCACTTGCCTCGGCCGGGGGTACACTCTCCAGTTCCACCGTCGAGGCTCGGTCCCAGGCCCCGTCAGGTGACTGTGGATCCACGACCGGGCCAGGAACACTGGCACTGTTCGATAGAGATGCCACCTTGCTGGACAAGGAGGCTTATAGTGCCGTGGATCCGCTGCTGGACCCGGGGGCTTTTATTCGATTTATTTTCAGTTCCGAAGAAAACTGGCGACTTGCGTCCGGATTTGGACCTTCGGGGCCTCATTGTTCACTCAAGACGCTATCAGCGTTTCGGATGTTGAGGACCCCGACTGTTGCAGGCAATATCTCCGGCGATTGTTTCACATCCATCGACCTTAAGATGCTTATTTTCCAGCGTTCCGATTGCCCCGACATCACCAGCGGTTTTCTGCGTATTGCTTTCCCGGGGGCGCATTATCATTTCGGGGTGTCTCCCCATCGGGGGCTGTCCTGTCCCCCAGGGTCTTTTTCACCCGGGTCTTTAGCGGCAGGCCTTAGGCCCTCTTCAGCTCAAGGGGGGGTCTGGACGACTAGCTCGTGTGCGCCTCCGTCGTGCCCAGGCCGTTCGGGACACTCAGACAGTCCCTCGACCACGTTGGGCGTTGGGTCTGCGGGTCAATGTTGGCGCAGAGCATATTTGGTTCCGGCTCAGGCAACGACTTTCTTAGAGGGGTGTATCTCTGATTCGGGTTGCCTACCGCCCGTCCGTCGGCTCTGCGGGTCAATGGCATTGTGGAATGCTCCACAGATTTTCAGCGGGGTCGGCGTTGCGCCGTTCCTGCTTGTAGCCTCAAGCCCTCTTGGGGAAGTTTGACGGCGGGCCTCTGCCGTTGTCCGCTGGGCCTTCTCTCCCTTGCGTCCCATGCAGGATTGGCTGAACGCTGTGCGTTTAGATCCTCGGTCACTCGCTTTCATTCAAACAGGCGACGCAGACTCCTGCTCTCGCCGCAGTGCGCTAGAGTCCCCTATCCTGTTGGCGGGACAGGTCATTGTATCGATGAGAGGAGAGTTTCCCCTACTGGGTCTCTCTTCCGTCTCGGAGGAGGTGGGATCACACCGAATGCGGTCTCCGTCACATGGTTGGGGGCGAGCGATGCGCCAGGGCAGGATGGCACAGGGACTTGGAGTTCTCCAGAGGTCCGCCTGCTGCATTTGAATGCCCTAGGGAGCTCAGGGCGGTCCAGCCTTGCTCTCGCGCAATTCCTCCCACGATTTCTGCGAGGCCGCATGTCAATGGTGAGGTCGCCGACACCCACGCACGGTGGTGCCACACTTAGCGAACCACCTGGGGGGTACCCCGGTCCGTGACGCTGTTGCGTGACCCGGGAGCTACTTGTGCAGTGGGGCATCCCCTCGCTGCAAGCATTGAGGGCCCTCCATACATTCTGGGGTGCGACATTGTTTGGTGGCGGACCTTCTGTCCTGCCAACCCCCCAGGCCGGGAGGGCGAGTCTCCACCACGGAGGTGGGTGGCCAGCATTTGGTCTATTATTTTGGCCGGGCCGAGATGGGACCTGTATGCGTTGGAGGCGTCGACCCACTGCCCGTTTGGTTTTCGCCTGACGGACTTGGCTTGCCCTCTGGGCTGGATGCGTCTGGCGGCACGATTTGGCCCACAGTACTCTGACTCTACCTTATATTCCCCCCTCTGCACTGATTTTGCCCTGACCCTCCTGGGGAGTTCTCCAAGAGGGGTCACACCCTACTCCTGGTAGCTCCGTTCGTGGGCCGGGCCGGATCTGGTTTCCATTTCTGCACAGCTCCTGCTGACGGGCTCACCGAGACCGCTGCGCCCGGACGGCGGGGAATCTCTCGCTGTCCCAGCTGGGGAGGCTCCTGCACCCCAGTCCCCCGGAGCGGCTTCAGCTCTGGGTGTGGCTCCACTTGATGGGTCCAGTGCTTTAATTGTCCCCGAGAATGGTGAGGGGGTCGCCCACACCAATCTCAATGCCAGGGCGCCTTCCACACGACGACATTACGCCACCGCTGGAAGCTGTTTGAACAAGTGGTGTCGGACGCTATGGGGACATGATGCATGTGCGTTGCCCGTGCCTGCCATTCTCAGTCCCTCCAGGATCTCATGGACCGGAGGCGCTCTCCCTCTACACTCCAGGTATTATGAGGCGGCAATAATCATGTTTTCATGAGGGTGTGTGCCGGTTTCTACGGTGGGGAGTTTAACGGGGATGTTTTCCCTTTTCCTGAAGGGTGCTCATGCGTCTTCATCCCCCGCGACGGCCCATGGTTCCACCCTGGGACCTGACGTTGGTTCTTGAGAGCTTGCGGGCCTCCCCCGTTTGGCCCCTGGATCGTGAGACCTGAAGAGGGTCTCCCCTTAAAGAACCTTATTACGGGTTTGTATTTATTTAGACAATAACAGTTTTTTAATACCATTTTAAATTAGAAGAGAACTACCTACGGTTTCAAAATCAGATTTGTTGTTTTTTTTGTCTGACCCCCAAATCGAAATAACCCCATAGGCAACGCCTTAGAGGCTGCAAAAACTTCACAGCCCTTGGTGACCTCAGGAACGGGTCCGTTTCAATGCTGTAAGTTGTTTTACAATTTGGTATTCGAATCGTTTTATTCGCGTATATTCAAGATGACAAAGGCCGATGTACAGCAAGTCCTAAGAATAACTATAGATGCATCATTTCCGTTGTCACGAGATAGTCCAGTGAGTGAGGGTGTCGATGGACTGCCAATCCAGATACTTGGTTCAAAATCCCACATTCTGACACTTTTTCACACTCAAAACGGCAATTTATGTGTAATGGAGAGCAAGTTGGGTCAACTGTAGAGTGCAGTATTGTGTTGGGCACCAGTGGAGAGAAGAGAGAAAAGGGCAGTCCTGTGGACATAGAATCCATGGTCGTCAATTCATGGGCGTAACCCGTCTATGACGTCACACATCAGGGTTAGGAGCAAAGACAACTTAAATTCATGAAAAACACGTTCTTTAATAAAATATAGGAATTTTTTTGCCGGAATCTCTTTCAAATTGACATTGTTCAATTTTGACGGGTGTTGTGTGGGTGAGAGGGTTGGGCTAAAATAAGCATAGTGCTTCATCCAACCCCTTTTCAAACCTTGAACATGTGTCTGAACATTTGTCAAATGTGTCTTCTGTGCAGGTTTTGAAATAAAGAAATAAATTCAATTCAAATTCAGTTCTCAGTACCAGTACCAAGGCCAGCACTGAGAACATCACAGCTGTAAGTACTCTCCAACTACTACTACTACTACTACTACTACTACTGCTACTGCTCCTGCTTCTACTACTGCTAATACTATGTTCCTCTGTCCTTTCATTTAGATGACTAAGCCCAAAGTGTCGGGCCAGTGCCCCATCTGCCTCAAAGTGCTACAGCATGTTAGCAAACATATCCGCGAGTTTCATGGAATTAAAAACGCAAGGGAGAGGACCATACTCAACGCCATATGCACTGGCAGGGTTGTGATTGGAAAGGGAACATGCCCGGTCCCGGGGTGTGGTCTCTTTCGGAGACGACTCGCCATCCATATAGAGCGCCACAGTGATCTGCTCCCCGGCAGAAGGGCGGCATACCTGCAGGTAGCCCCGCAGAGATGCCGCATTGAAGCAGCTATCGGAGCTGCGGGATACCGACCCACAACCTCCCATGGCCTCGTCTTTGGACCTTGAGGACAGCCTTGCCTCTGAATGCCGGCACCCCTCCTGCATTCAGAGGGAGTTCAGGATCCGGGAGTTGGAGGTAAAGTTTTAAAGTATTACATTTTTACATTCTAATACTACTACTACTACTACTACTACTACTCCTAATTCTGTTAAATGCAGGACGTGCTGGAGATGAGGTCGGCCGGCAGATCTAATGAGGAGGAGGACGTGGGGGAGATGGGATCGGCCGGCAGATCTAATGAGGAGCAGGAGGACGTGGGGGATGGGATCGGGCCGGCAGATCTAATGAGGAGCAGAGGAGGGGGAGATGGGATCGGCCGGCAGATCTAATGAGGAGCAGGAGGACGTGGGGGAGATGGGATCGGCCGGCAGATCTAATGAGGAGCAGGAGGACGTGGGGGAGATGGGATCGGCCGGCAGATCTAATGAGGCGCAGATCTAAGAAGGAGGACGTGGGGGAGATGGGATCGGCCGGCAGATCTAATGAGGAGCAGGAGGACGTGGGGGAGATGGGATCGGCCGGCAGATCTAATGAGGAGCAGGAGGACGTGGGGGAGATGGGATCGGCCGGCAGATCTAATGAGGAGCAGGAGGACGTGGGGGAGATGGGATCGGCCGGCAGATCTAATGAGGAGCAGGAGGACGGTGGGGGAGATGGGATCGGCCGGCAGATCTAATGAGGAGCAGGAGGACGTGGGGAGATGGATCGCGGAGATCATGGAGCGGCCGGCAGATCTAATGAGGAGCAGGAGGACGTGGGGGAGATGGGATCGGCCGGCAGATCTAATGAGGAGCAGGAGGACGTGGGGGAGATGGGATCGGCCGGCAGATCTAATGAGGAGCAGGAGGACGTGGGGGAGATGGGATCGGCCGGCAGATCTAATGAGGAGCAGGAGGACGTGGGGGAGATGGGATCGGCCGGCAGATCTAATGAGGAGCAGGAGGACGTGGGGGAGATGGGATCGGCCGGCAGATCTAATGAGGAGCAGGAGGACGTGGGGGAGATGAGGTCGGCCGGCAGATCTAATGAGGAGCAGGAGGACGTGGGGGAGATGAGGTCGGCCGGCAGATCTAATGAGGAGCAGGAGGACGTGGGGGAGATGAGGTCGGCCGGCAGAGGATGGGAGGAGGATGAAAATTTGGGCCTCTGGTTTCCGCCCCATAAAATATGCTGTTCTTTATGCAAAAAGAGAAGAATACTTTAACAACCTGGGGGGCTACCCCCTCTCAAGCCGTTATAAATAAACTTTTAATTGAATATTTTAAAAGCACTGTCTCTGCCTGGCTTTTACAAAACTTACCTGTGTGTGTCCTTTGGTTTTATTAATACTTTAGTTATTTTATTGGTTATTTTTAAGTACCTCGGGTCACAATGGCATAGTTGTCCATAGATAAATGTCCAATGTGTGGAATTCTTGACATTCACCTTTTAACCTGAAAAAATAAAAATATTCATTATGTATATGTAATAATTGATGAAACCCCCTGCTGCAGTCACACCACTACTTGGAACCACATCATCTACTGGATCTATGGACAAACTAGAAACTTCTGTCTATCGATTAATCAAATTGCCGCCCCTCCCCGTTCAGCAATTGGTCCCAAATCTAAGCCATCACATTACCCTGAGTTCACACGTCACAGTACAGTTAGAAATTTTAGAGCATGCAGCACTATAATTAATACATTTATAAATTAAAATGATAGCCCACTTTGCCCAAAGCCCCCGCTGAAAGATCTCAGCTCCTGTGGACTCACCACCTGCAGGAGGATCAGTGAGGGGCTGGTGCAAAGTGTACTGGGTGCAGCTCTGACTGCCACCCCTCCGACCCAGAAATGGATTAAGGGGAAGAAAATGGATGGATGGATGGATGTTTAACTTGAAAACATGGAAATTTGTATTTTCTACTGGTTTAACACCATTATTTTAAATGTAACAACTTTGTTTGTTACGGCAAATGACTGAATTAGTTGAGGTACTACCGTTAAAAGAAATGTAGTTGATTGTTATCATGAAAAGTATTAACATTGCAAAAAATGTTATTTTACATGAAAAAATATCAAATTTGCAGTGATGTAAATATCAACTCGAATTAAACAAAATATCAAAGAATAAGAAGCACATTGTGTAAATGTTCATATGTTCACTTTTTAGTGTCCAAACTTCAAAACAAAATTTTTTTGGCCGAGAAAACCTTTTTTTAATGAACAGTTACGTGTACTTTTGTGGGACATGGCTAATCACAAGGTGGCATCAGTCAACATAGAGTGTACTATTTTAAGAGCATCAAAATAAAAATCACCCCTAAAAAGGGAACTGAAGTGCATAATCTTTCAAAATAAAAGTAAATAAATACTTTCTGTATGACTGAACAGAATCGTGTACAACAGGTGTAGCAAAGATGACTACAGAAATTCTTACTGAGCAGAATCTTTTCTCTATCTTCAGACCCCTGGGCTTCACAATTTGATTCGCGATATAAAAACAGGTGTAAAATAAAAATGCACACACTGTACCAGACAATTTATCTTCTAAACTTTAACCAACATAAATGTGGTTTAGGAGATAAGTTGCCTGGTACAGTTTGTAGATGTTCCATCTTTACTTACAATGTCCAGCATACATTTTTTTAATTATCTCTCAACATCACTGGAAGGTCCACTCATGGTCAGCAAGGTCAGCGATCAAAGTGAATGGTAATAAAGTCAAAGTAGCGTGATTATGAGATGAATTTGGAAAGATTATGATAATAAAGTCAAATTTATGGGATTATCCATCCATCCATTTTCTTCCGCTTCATCCGTTGCCAGGTCGCGGGGGCAGCAGTCTAAGCAGAGACGCCCAGACTTCCCTATTCACACACACTTCCTCCAGTTCGTCCGGGGGGACCCCAAGGCGTTCCCAGGCCAGCTGACAGACATAGTTCCTTCAGCGTGTCCTGGGTCTTCCCCGGGGCCTCCTCCCGGTGGGACGTGCCCGGAACACCTCCCCAGGGAGGCGTTAGGAACAGATGCCCGAGCCACCTCAACTGGTTCCTCTCTACGTGGAGAAGCAGCGGCTCTACTCCGAGCTCCTCCCGTGTGACTGAGCTCCTCACCCTATCTTTAAGGGAGCGCCCAGTCACTCTGCGGAGGAAGCTCATTTCGACCGCTTGTATCCGCGATCTCGTTCCAGAGAAACACCAGAGAAGTGGAGCGTCCAACCCCTCTCAAGAAGTTGGGTTCCAGAGCCCAAGCTGTGTGTGGAGGTGAGGCCGACTATCTCTAGTCGGTATCGCTCAACTTCCCCCATGAGCTTGGGCTCCTTCCCCCCCAGTGAGGTGAGGTTCCACGTCCCAAGAGCTAGATGTTGGGTGTGCGGACTGGGTCGCCGAGGTGCCGCCCAGTCCTCTCTGCACCATGCCACCACGGACCCCTCTGCAGGTGGTGGGCCCACAGGAGGGACTGCCCACGTCATCCCTTCGGGCTGAGCCCGGCCGGGCCCCGTGGGCTAAGGCCCGGCCACCAGGCGCTCGCTAGCGAGCCCCGACCCCAGGCCTGGCTCCAAGGTGGGGCCCCGGCAGCGGCATACCGGGCGACGTCACTGTTGTCCTTATTGTGCTGTCCATGATGGCTTCGGACTGCGCTTTATCTGACTCGTCACCTGAGACCTGCCATGGGAGACCCTACCAGGGGCATGAAGCCCCTGACAACATAGCTCCCAGGATCACCCGAGTACGCAAACTCCCCCACCACGTTAAGGTGGCAGTCCAAGGGGGTCTGCCACTCCTTATGGGATTAATCTCATAATATTTGGAGTTACCTGTATATTTCTGGGTTTATTATACCCACCAACCATATTTCAATGTAATAGAATATAACAATTGTGTATTTCAAAATATAAATCCTAATCTCAAACTGGATTTATCAAATTATATTGTAGTTCATTTGTTTTGTGTATTTTTACACACACACACACACACACACACACACACACACACACTCTGCAAGACACATGCAGAGTGTCTTGCAGAAGAACACATCGACAGTGGAAATGATTGGGAGCTGATAACATAGAACTTTTTTTATAATGTTCACTCAATAATAATAGAAAGAACACACCAACCGGGAAGAACAAAAAAAGATTAATTATATTTGTTGAGACTGGACAAAGCTGGACTTTGGCTCCCAGGTGTTCTTCCATTCAACACCACTGTGGAACAAAACAAAAAAGAGACACTTCATACAGGTTTTAATAACTTAAAAAAATTAATCATTTTATTTAAGCCAACATGCCCTATTATGCTGCATTAATATACACAATGGATAATTTACAAAAGAGTATGGTAAAAAAATTCCATTATCATTAAATGATCATTGTGAGTGCATGTGTGCTGTAAATGATTTAACAGTATTCCTCTAAAAATTAGATAAAAGGCAGTAAATAAAACATTGCTCAAGCTGGAAATAACTGGAAGACGTCTAAATATTTGCAGCAGTAACCTCTCTGTACAATAGTGAGCACAGCTGGTGCAGTAAGAACAGCCAAACAAAATAAACAATTACATTTTAAATGAACAAGTTCTTATACCAAATTCCGCAAGGCTGCCATCGAACAAACACCTCCTGACGACCCTTTTAAATGACATACAGAGAGATAATTAAGACAAATATTTAAAATAAACTTCTCACTATAACAAACATCAATGAATACAAACTACACTGAGTAGTATGTTTGTGACATCACCAAAAGGAACGTTAGTACTGAGGTTCTTTTAATGACAGAATGGTCTGCTTGACTAGTTTTAAATCTTCCACAGTATCATCACCAGCTGCTTAGGGAAAAATCATCACGTAACACAGCTCACATCATGCGCAGCGGCAAAGCGTGTCCTGCTGTTGTTTGCTAAAACTAAAGGTGTTTGGAGGCTACAAATAAATAATACCTGCTTTAAAATGAAACGTGGTTAATATCCACAACAGAAAAACCCGGAGGGGGAGAAAAGTCACTTGTATCAGGGGCTGATGGTGCGAAGAGAGGGAGAGAGGGCAGCGGAGGGAGAGAGGGCAGAGGAGGGAGAGAGGGCAGCGGAGGGAGAGAGGGCAGAGGAGGGAGAGAGGGCAGCGGAGGGAGAGAGGGCAAAGGAGGGAGAGAGGGCAGAGGAGGGAGAGAGGGCAAAGGAGGGAGAGAGGGCAAAGGAGGGAGAGAGGGCAGAGGAGGGAGAGAGGGCAGAGGAGGGAGAGAGGGCAAAGGAGGGAGAGAGGGCAGAGGAGGGAGAGAGGGCAAAGGAGGGAGAGAGGGCAGAGGAGGGAGAGAGGGCAGCGGAGGGAGAGAGGGCAGAGGAGGGAGAGAGGGCAGCGGAGGGAGGGAGGACAGTGGAGGGAGGGAGGACAGCGGTAGAACAGCGCGTTAAAGAGGCCCGGCTTTTCGGAGTCAAAGGTAAAGAGGTCCGCACATTAAAAGCGGGTGGCCGGTTTATGCCTTTACTGACAGTAACTTTGGAAAGAGAAGCCGCGGGGATGAACCGCATAAAGTAACAGCAGAAAGCGGCCGCCCGCTTTTAATGTGCGGACCTCTTTACCGCTGACTCCGGAAAGCCGGCCCACTTTACCGCGGTAGGAGAACAGTGAGGGCGAGCCGCAAGAAATGCGCTCCACTTCTGCTGAGGAGGGAGCCCACCAAGCCCATCACTGTGTCACTACATGAGTAAAAATATGCAAGCCTCCTTTTTTGGGCTGGACAGTGCAGCTCGGTAGTGGCGTGAGTCTCTAGAAAGCGTTACTCCGTATCAAGGAAATACATGCTCATTTCATGTGACGAAAGGGCTGTCACATGAAATGAGCATGGGTCGCGGGTTAGCAGGGCATTTATGATGGGGGTCGCGGGCTAAAAACTTTGGGAACCACAGTACTGTGACATCTCAGTACTGTGTACTTTACTGTCTTGTACTGTATGTTTCACAAAACTACAAATTTTCAAAAGGAGCAATAGCCAACTTGCAAAACAGTTCATGTGATATAGTACAGTACTGTAAATACTGTAGATACAGTCTGCAGTACAGAGTTACAGTACATGTGATACAGTACTGCAAATACTGTAGATACAGTCTGCAGTAGAGAGTTACAGTACATGTGATACAGTACTGTAATCAACAGAGGTGTGGACTCGAGTCATGTAACTTGGACTCGAGTCAGACTCGAGTCATGATTTTGATGACTTTAGACTCGACTTGACCAAATATAAAAAGACTTGCAACTCGACTTGGACTTTAACATCAATGACTCTGACTTTCACTTGGACTTGCGCCAATTGACTTGTAAAGACTTGCGTAACCCGGGCCATTTTTACCTTTCTCCGCATCTTTCTTTCTATCTATGCCGTCTCTGAAGAAACAAAGTCTCGCGGTAGTTGTAGCGCTCGCGCGAGAGTTCGAACGTGAGTTCCCCGCAGTTCGCGCAGCAACACTTCCCTAAACAAGCGGACTGCATTCACCGGTGGGTGTGTTGTCTAGGGGAGCTGGAAATTAGCGAGCTGCAGGTATTTATCGCGACCTAACGTCATACTTTGTTCTACAAACCGTAATTGATATGCTTTCACTACAGGCGCCTCATACAATTGAATCGACGCAGTTGTCACACTCTGTGCCGTGTTTTAAAGAGGAACTGGTGAGTCAAACTAGCGCTAGCCTGCGCTGCTTTGTTGGCTCTTTCTTATATTTTTCTGTGTGGGCGCCGAGGCCTATTATTATGAGTATATTTTTGCTGTGCTCCTCCTGCTAAAGTTTGCATACATTAGATAGTTGTTTTGATTATGTGCACTAAGCTAGATTAATATTTGCACTATTGTTTATGGTGCATTGATATGAGAATCAGTGCTTTGACTGATTGAATTAATTTATATGAGACATTTTATTATGTAATGATATATTGGTAATTATGAGATATTGCTAATGCTGGTCCAGTTGATGGCGAGCTGCCCCAGGTCCAAAGCCTAGACCCCTCATACTACCCCTATTCTACAGTAGGACATTTGGAACAATAACCACTACGGACATTAAACTGATTATATAGATACAGGTCCTAGCCCAATACTCATATTCATATATGCTGCACTTGCTACTTCCCATTAAAAACCCCAAAGATAAAAAGTATGTTGACACGGACTGCTCTGATTTTATGTGTGGTCTGTGCATGTGTAACTGAGCCTGCATCTGGCACAACATCCAATTAGATCACGTAGATAGTTTTGATTTACCAGCAGCCAACGACATGGAACAAACTGTTAGTCCATGGGTCAGAGACCAACGAGAATGCACCAGCAAAATGATTCCTAACATTATTTTGTTTGCCTACAAAAGTACGTGGAGACCAACAAGAAACAAATCGCGGTCAAAAAGACTCGAGAGGACTCGAAAGTCAAACCGTAGGACTTGGGACTGACTTGAGATTTGTTGGCCTTTGACTTGGACTCGACTCGGGACTTGCCTGTCTTGACTCGTGACTTGACTCGGGACTTGAGGGCAATGAATTGAGACTGACTTGTGACTTGCTAAACAATGACTTTGTCCCACCTCTGGTAATCAATCAATCAATCAACGTTTATTTGTAGAGCGCCTTTCCTACACAAGGCAACGCAAAGCGCTTCACATCCCCTATCACATCATGCATAAATCAAACACATTAAGAGCACAAGATATATTAAAAACATTAAAAATAAAATCACAAAAATTAAAAACCTTTAAACATTAAAATCACAGATGGGACTAAAATCATAAATAGTCACAGTGCATTAAAAAGATTAAAGATAAAAACAAAGATGAAAAGATAAAATCATTCAGTTGTATATGCGCAGCTAAACAGAATTGTTTTGAGCCTAGATTTAAAAGATGCCAGAGTAGACGCCTGTCTCACATTCTCAGGAAGACGGTTCCAGACTCTAGCCGCATGAATCTGAAATGCAGTTTGCCCATGTCTAGTACCGACTCTGGGCACTAACAGGAGTCCAGTCCCTGTGCTCCTCAGAGTCCGGGTCGGTTCATATGGCACAAACATGTCATGGATGTACCTTGGCGCGAGACCATGGAGAGACTTGTACACAAGTAAAGCTGCTTTGAAGTCTATTCTCTGAGGAACAGGAAGCCAGTGCAGAGACCTGAGAACTGGACTAATGTGGTCGCACTTCCTAGTTCTGGTCAGGACTCGAGCTGCTGCATGTTGAATGTACTGCAGCTGTTTTACAGCCTGTTTGGAGAGACCTGTGAACAAGCCATTGCAATAGTCTAACCGACTGGAGACAAAAGCGTGTATAAGAGTCTCCAAGTCTGCCTTAGACACTATGTTTTTAATTTTAGCAATGTTTTTTAGGTGGTAATAAGCTGCTGATGTTACAGATTTTATGTGGCTTTTGAAATTTAAGTCTGAGTCCATTATCACCAGTGTTGGGCACGTTACTTTGAAAAAGTAATTAGTTATAGTTACTAGTTACTTCTCCCAAAAAGTAACTGAGTTACTAACGGAGTTACTCCACTATAAAAGTAACTAGTTACCAGTAAAAGTAACTATTGCGTTACTTTTTCGTTTTGTTCTGGAACATAATGTGCACTCGACGTGCGCATTTTTACCTTTAACCTCAGCGAGTCTGAAATATTGCCAATATTTCCATCTAGAAAAGGCTGTTTTGCTGCTGAAGTCCTGTTCACTCTTCATCTCTCTCTGTGCACTAAGCACTAAACACCAACACGCTCCACTGTGAATGTGGAAACACCGGTGAAGCACTGACTTCAGCCCAATCAGATGAACATATACATCATATAAATCAAGTGGACAATTTGTTTGGCTACAGCAAAATATGTTTCATGGCCGCATTGTTTGTTCATACAAAACGCAAAACTATGAGTTATGGGTCTTACCTTATAAATGACCTGCACAGACCACTTCAGTTCAGACCAGTTCTGTGTTTAAGTCCAGATAATAGTTTGAGCGTAGATATGTAATCCTCCATTTGGAAATGAGTTTTAAAAACGCGTATGTCCTCCGTAAACTACTCTGTTTTGCTAGGTGCAGCCGGGTGCATCCAATTTCTAAAATCAACCGTCTTACACTTCACCTCTCTTTCTTATCATTCCTATAGTAATTGAAAAATTACCGTAAGTGCATTTTAAATTATCTTAAAATGTGTTATATGTATATTAGCCAAACTTGTTGCAGCCCTTAGCAGATAAACCAGGAAGAGAAAGGAGCTTTCTGATGGAATTGTATGCAGCCGACTTCTGCACTCACAAGCGCTCCTCTGAGGCCTCACGGTGATAGAAGCCGTGGTTGAGCGCGACTAAGACCCATATTTGTTTCAAAAACACAATTTATGACCATCCTCTCAACTGTAGACATGTGGATTGTAAAGGAAATATGTTTTACATCAGCCAATAATTGCTGAGAGGTTTTCTCATCCTCCCTTCTCTCATGACAACACGTTCATTGTGCGTCTTGAGTAACGCGCAGTAACGGGATGTCGGAAATGATAACGGCGTTATAGTTACAGTCAAAGTAATTAGTTAGATTACTCGTTACTGAAAAAAGTAACGGCGTTAGTAACGCCGCTACTAGTAACGCCGTTATTCCCATCACTGATTATCACTCCTAGATTTCTGACCTGATTTTAAATACTGTAGATACAGTCTGCAGTAGACAGTTACAGTACATGTGATACTGTAAAGTACTGTAAATACTGTAGATACAGTCTGCAGTACAGAGTTACAGTACATGGGATACAGTACAGTACTGTAAATACTGTAGATACAGTCTGCAGTACAGAGTTACAGTACATGTGATACAGTACAGTACTGTAAATACTGTAGATACAGTCTGCAGTACAGAGTTACAGTACATGTGATACTGTACTGTAAATACTGTAGATACAGTCTGCAGTACAGAGTTACAGTACATGTGATACTGTACTGTAAATACTGTAGATACAGTCTGCAGTACAGAGTTACAGTACATGTGATACAGTACAGTACTGTAAATACTGTAGATACAGTCTGCAGTACAGAGTTACAGTACATGTGATACAGTACTGTAAATACTGTAGATACAGTCTGCAGTACAGAGTTACAGTACATGTGATACAGTACTGTAAATACTGTAGATACAGTCTGCAGTAGAGAGTTACAGTACATGTGATACAGTACTGTAAATACTGTAGATACAGTCTGCAGTAGAGAGTTAAAGTACATGTGATACAGTACAGTACTGTAAATACTGTAGGTACAGTCTGCAGTAGAGTTACAGTACATGTGATACAGTACTGTAAATACTGTAGATACAGTCTGCAGTACAGAGTTACAGTACATGTGATACAGTACAGTACTGTAAATACTGTAGATACAGTCTGCAGTACAGAGTTACAGTACATGTGATACAGTACAGTACTGTAAATACTGTAGATACAGTCTGCAGTACAGAGTTACAGTACATGTGATACTGTACTGTAAATACTGTAGATACAGTCTGCAGTACAGAGTTACAGTACATGTGATACTGTACTGTAAATACTGTAGATACAGTCTGCAGTACAGAGTTACAGTACATGTGATACAGTACAGTACTGTAAATACTGTAGATACAGTCTGCAGTACAGAGTTACATTACATGTGATACAGTACTGTAAATACTGTAGATACAGTCTGCAGTAGAGAGTTACAGTACATGTGATACAGTACTGTAAATACTGTAGATACAGTCTGCAGTAGAGAGTTAAAGTACATGTGATACAGTACAGTACTGTAAATACTGTAGGTACAGTCTGCAGTAGAGTTACAGTACATGTGATACAGTACTGTAAATACTGTAGATACAGTCTGCAGTAGAGAGTTACAGTACATGTGATACAGTACAGTACTGTAAATACTGTAGATACAGTCTGCAGTAGAGAGTTACAGTACATGTGATACTGTAAAGTACTGTAAATACTGTAGATACAGTCTGCAGTACAGTGTTACAGTACATGTGATACTGTAAAGTACTGTAAATACTGTAGATACAGTCTGCAGTACAGAGTTATAGTACATGTGATACTGTACTGTACTGTAAATACTGTAGATACAGTCTGCAGTACAGAGTTACAGTACATGGGATACAGTACAGTACTGTAAATACTGTAGATACAGTCTGCAGTACAGAGTTACAGTACATGTGATACAGTACTGTAAATACTGTAGATACAGTCTGCAGTACAGAGGCAGGAGGCCAGTCCCTGTGCTCCTCAGAGTCCCAGCAGGAGGCCAGTCCCTGTGCTCCTCAGAGTCCCAGCAGGAGGCCAGTCCCTGTGCTCCCCAGAGTCCCAGCAGGAGGCCAGTCCCTGTGCTCCTCAGAGTCCCAGCAGGAGGCCAGTCCATTTGCTCCTCAGAGTCCCAGCAGGAGGCCAGTCCCTGTGCTCCTCAGAGTCCCAGCAGGAGGCCAGTCCCTGTGCTCCTCAGAGTCCCAGCAGGAGGCCAGTCCCTGTGCTCCTCAGAGTCCCAGCAGGAGTCCAGTCCCTGTGCTCCTCAGAGTCCCAGCAGGAGACCAGTCCCTGTGCTCCTCAGAGTCCCAGCAGGAGGCCAGTCCCTGTGCTTCTCAGAGTCCCAGCAGGAGGCCAGTCCCTGTGCTCCTCAGAGTCCCAGCAGGAGGCCAGTCCCTGTGCTCCTCAGAGTCCCAGCAGGAGGCCAGTCCATTTGCTCCTCAGAGTCCCAGCAGGAGGCCAGTCCCTGTGCTCCTCAGAGTCCCAGCAGGAGTCCAGTCCCTGTGCTCCTCAGAGTCCCAGCAGGAGGCCAGTCCCTGTGCTCCTCAGAGTCCCAGCAGGAGTCCAGTCCCTGTGCTCCTCAGAGTCCCAGCAGGAGACCAGTCCCTGTGCTCCTCAGAGTCCCAGCAGGAGTCCAGTCCCTGTGCTCCTCAGAGTCCCAGCAGGAGACCAGTCCCTGTGCTCCTCAGAGTCCCAGCAGGAGGCCAGTCCCTGTGCTCCTCAGAGTCCCAGCAGGAGGCCAGATGGTTTGATTGTTTAAACTGATGTGTTTTTCAGTTGCACAAGTGGCCTTCTCCGCCTCTTTATTTGCCTCCGGACACGGGACTCTTGGACCAGAACCCACTCACACCCACCTGGTCTTCAGCTCTGTGACAACAAACATCGGGAACGCCTATGACGCAGACACAGGTGAATGTACTCACATGGTACTCTCATGGTAATCATATGGTACTCACATGATACTCACATGGTGCTCACATGGTACTCACATGATACTCACATGATACTCACATGGTGCTCACATGGTACTCACATGATACTCACATGATACTCTCATGGTATTCACAAGGTACTCACATGGTACTCACATGATACTCACATGATACTTACATGGAACTTACATGGAACTCACATGGAACTCACATGGCACTCACATGGTACACACATGGTACTCACTAGGTACTCCTATGGTACTCACATGGCACTCACATGGTACACACATTGTACTCACATGGTACTCTTATGGTACTCACATGACACTCACATGGTACACACGTGTTACTCACATGATACTCATATGGTACTCACATGGAACACACATGGTACTCATATGATACTCACATGGTACACACATACACATGGGTCTTACATAGTGTATTTCATGTTTTAAAAATAACTATAAATACAGTCAGAGACCAGAGAGAGAGAGATCAGAGAAAGACCAGAGAGAGATACCAGACCAGAGAGAGACCAGAGATAGAGAGACAAGAGAGACCAGAGAGAGACCAGAAAGAGACCAGAGAGAGACCAGAACGAGACCAGAAAGAGACCAGAACGAGACCAGATAGAGACCAGAGAGAGAGAGAGACCAGACCAGTCCAGGACCGGTCCAGAATCAGCTTCTTGAAAAGAATAGAAGTGAAAATATCTCTAAATGTAGAACTTTTCTTGTTTAAAGATGAAGATAAATACAATAAAAACATTTTTATAATAATAATGACAAAGAGGTAGACGCTGAATATTTACAGTTTATTTATTTCTGAAACTATAAGCCGTCAATTTGACTGCTCTCGTTGCCAGGGTTCTTCACGGCGCCGCTGCGAGGGGCCTATCACTTCGACTTCTTCATCGCGGGAGGCGCCGAGGCCGGACACGGTTCTGGGGCGGTGCTGGTGAAGAACGGACAGTACGTGGTCATGGCCCTCGAGCATCAGACAGAGGGATTTAGCAGCACGGCTAACGGAGCCACGCTGCTGCTCGAGGCCGGAGACACGGTGCATCTGCTGCAGTGGGCGAACACGGTCGTCTACGACAACGAGCTCCACCACTCGTCCTTCAGCGGTCACCTGCTCTTCCCCATGAACGGCCTGATCCAAGCTGGGGCTGTTCCCCATGAACGGCCTGATCCAAGCTGGGGCTGTTCCCCATGAACGGCCTGATCCAAGCTGGGGCTGTTCCCCATGAACGGCCTGATCCAAGCTGGGGCTGTTCCCCATGAACGGCCTGATCCAAGCTGGGGCTGTTCCCCATGAACGGCCTGATCCAAGCTGGGGCTGTTCCCCATGAACGGCCTGATCCAAGCTGGGGCTGTTCCCCATGAACGGCCTGATCCAAGCTGGGGCTGTTCCCCATGAACGGCCTGATCCAAGCTGGGGAGAAACCAGACCTTCTTTAAAATAATGATCCAATATGAGGTGATAAAGGGTAAATGTAGTGGTTTTTATCTTATATTGAGTTCATTGTGCTGTATTTCCTCATTCCAAGGGAGACATTTTGTTTTGACTGGATTTTGGAATTTAAAATGGGTTTTGATAAGTTTTTATAGATTTACAGATGCATTTTATTGGAAAGTTGTGACACAAACAAATGTCAGTAAATAACAATAGAGTCAACAACTGGATTCCAGAGAGTCTGAGATTTATAACAAGGTATAACATGACTGTATTGGTGGAGCTGAAGTTGGTTGGATGACACTGTCAAAGTGCCTCAATGGGGACTTTGTGTTAGCAGGAGAGGGCCACAATTGGCAGAGACCTGAGACCAGGACTAATGTGATGGCACTTCCTGGTTCTCGTCAGGACTACATTGTTTTGAATGTACTGCTCATTTGGAAATAATACAGCAATAATCCAATAAAAATAACAATAATGAAAAGATAAATGTTTTTAGGTTCAACATAAACTGGGCCCAGAGGGATCAGACTGGTTTGGAGCAACTCTGTTATCTTTTTTCCTGTTTGTTTTTCAGTCTGGCAGAGACTATTGTTTGGTTCATTCAGTTTCTCTTTTGTTCGTCTGGGAAAACAAATAAAAAGGTTTTGAGCTCTGTCTTTTTATCTTTCATAAAGTTTGCACAAAACTAATAAGAAATAACTCTATACATAAGAAATAATGCGTAGAACATATACAGCACTTTTCATTCTCTCCACACATCCATCCATTTTCTTCCCTTTAATCCATTTTTGGGTCAGGGGGGTGGCAGTCAGAGATGCCACCCAAGTCTCATAGCACCAGCCCCTCACTGACCCTCTGCAGGTGGTGAGTCCACAGGAGGACGGCTGCTCTCTGAGTGTGAGCATAGCCTTGATCTTTCAGTGGGGGCTTTGGGCAAAGTGGGGTTAAGTGTCTTGCCCAAGGACACAATGACAGCAGTCATCAGTGGGAGTCGGTGGAGAAGGTGTAGAGGTGGGAATTCATCACCATCTCTCCACACACAGAGGTGATGAACTACTGCTGTAGCCACAGCTGCCCTGGGGCACAGAAGTCGTTTGGGCCATTTTTTTCATGATTGCAGTGTAGCAGTAAAAAGGGGAAACAATATTGTGTGTTTGTGTGTGTGTGTGTGTTTGTGTGTGTGTGTGTGTATGTGTGTGTTTGTATGTATGTGTGTGTGTGTGTGTGTGTGTATGTATGTGTGTGTATGTATGTGTGTGTGTGTGTGTGTGTGTGTGTGCACTTGTTTTCAACTCCTGGTGGGTTCCATAACCTGAGATTCCACTCACGTCATGGGGACTGGTTTTACGTGGTGGGGCCCGAACACCGGACCCCACTGGTCCAAGCTTAATAATCAATGGGTAATGCTTTTCTAACGGTCCTTATGCAGTCTCTGTAAAAATATGGAAAGGACCCCTGGAGGTTTACTTTCCTGAAAAAAGTGTGTTATGTGTCGGAACCCTGGTGGTGGGTTGCGGGATATCAAGGAGGGGCACACTGGGGCAATTTCAGTCCAGCAGGCTGGAGCCAATCATGGAGCAGCACAACAGAGGAAATCAGGTGTCAGGCTAGAAAAAGGTGCAAGTGTGTGGTTCATTAGGCTGCAAGAAATCATGGAGGAGCACACTGAAGCGCACGCTTACAAACCACTGGTAAGTGCTGACTACAAGTCATGACTTCAAATTGTTATATAGAATGATTACAAATTATTTGTTGTTTGTGCAGCTTAGTCAAGAGTCCCTAATTGATGAAGTCGACTCAGATTCTGACGATTTAACTGTCAAGAAGAAACCTGTAAAAAAGTATGGAAAAAGAAAAATCAAAAACACTTTTCTTCAAGACTCGGAAAGTGACGAACCAAAGGCAAATAAGATTGTTATCATGCAGCTGCAAAAGAAGAAAAATGGGGGGCGAGTATACAGCAAGAGACACTTCTGCCTCTACTGTTCAATGTCCTGCCACAAAATGTCCCGTCATTTGACTAGAAAACATGGAAATGAAAGTGACGTAGCCAGAGCATTGGCTCTACCTGTGAAATCTAAAGCACGTAAACTTCAGTTTGATTTGATCAGGAATAGTGGAAACCGTGAGCACAATTTTGAGGTTTTAAAGGCCGGCATTGGAACTTTAGTCCCAGCTAAACAGCCAAATTCCCCAGTTAAATCCAGTGAGTTTTTGCACTGTATAGACTGTGGGGCATTGCTTAAGCGAAAGTCGCTGTGGAGGCATGTGGCCAGGTGCCGGCTTTCACAGAAAGATGCCCAGGCTAAACCAGGTAGAAGTAGGGTCCAGTCCCTCTGCTCCCTAGCCCAGCCTGTACCGGAGGGCATCAGCAAAAAGCTGTGGTCTTTAATTTCGGCAATGCATCAGGATGAGGTCACGGGTGTTGTCAAAGCAGAAAAGGGGATTCTGAGACTCGGAGAGCACCTGTACTTAAAACACGGGCATGATAAGACAAAGCATGATTACATTAGGCAGAAAATGAGAGAAGTCGGTAGGTTAATTAACGAAGCAAAAACCGCAGGGAAACTGAAAACAATTAAGGATTTCTTTATTCCTTCCAACTTTAACCATGTGATTGATGCAGTCAGGTCTGTGGCTGGATATGATGAGGAAACAAATCAATACAAGACTCCATCCTTGGCCCTCAAACTCGGCCATAGCCTCAGAAAGCTAGCAGATATTCTTGAATGTGACTCAAAAATGGAGCATTGTGTTGATGAACTATTTATTAAAAACCTCCAACGAAGCCGGCTGCTTTTTGAGAAGAGGTGGGACGTCTGTGTTTCTTCTGCTGCCCTACAGACCCTCCGGCAAGCCAAGTGGAACACTCCGGACCTGCTCCCTCTGACTGAGGACGTTAGAGCCATGCATGCACATATTGAGGTATGTCGACCTGAATATGTGCAAACCCTAATAAGTGAGCCAACGTCTAAGCATTGGTCTAAACTGGCAGTTTTGACTCTTTGTGAGGTCATCATTTTCAATCGAAGAAGGGAAGGTGAGGTTTCAAAGATGCCACTGACAGCCTTTACCTTAAGAAGTAAGACTGGGATCCATTCTGACATTGCTCTGGGACTGTCCCAACTTGAGAAAAAGCTGTGTCAGCATTTTCAACGCATTGAAATTAAAGGGAAAAGAAGTCGGAAAGTGCCGGTTCTTTTGACTCCTGAAATGATTGCTTCGATGGAGGTGCTGGTGGAGAACAGAAGGGCCTGTTCCATCTCTGACCATAACCCATACTTCTTTTCCCGCCCGGGGCAGACACCCACATCAGGGGATCAGACTCCCTACGCCAGGTAGCCAAAGAATGTGGTGCGGTGCATCCAGAGATGCTATCCTCAACCAAACTTAGAAAGCACATAGCTACTATGTCTACAGTTCTCAATATGAAAGAGAATGAGATGGACATACTTGCCAACTTCCTCGGCCATGACATTCGCATCCACAGGCAATATTACAGACTACCAGAGGGGACACTGGAGCTGGCCAAAATCAGCAAAGTGTTGATGGCCATGGAGCAGGGAAGAGTGACGGAATTCGAAGGAAAGAGCCTCGACCAGATACAAATTGAGCCTGAAGGTAATTCTTGATATTATTAAAATATGTATGATTTTTTTCCCCTAAAGGCCACTTGTATTTTTATTTTCTGTGCGACAGGGAGAGCAGTAGAGATCCTCTCACAAACGGACGGGCTAAAAGAAACTTCAAGCGGAGAACCTTCAACCATTCATCCAGATGCACCCCATGGTAGTGGCAGTGCCCCTTCTGGTAAGTGTACCAGGTGGGGGATTACAGCCAGGCTGCTTGGTCCTCACCCTGGGAGTGTATATTGCTAATATATTTTTATTTCTCTCCCTAGAACGTGTAAGAAAGCCATGGTCTGCATCTGAGGTGAAGGCTGTGGAGAAGACCATGACACCTTTCATACAGACTGGAAAGGTCCCTGGGAAGTCTCACTGCCTGGCCTGGCCTGGCCTGGCCTGCATTAATGCCTCACCAGATGACCTTAGACATCGGACATGGAGTGGCATTAAATTCTATGTCAAAAATAGAATCACAGCAATTCGAAAACAAAATCTAAAATAAAATTCCTTTAAAATAGTTGTTTGGTTTCTATTGACTGTTTTGTATTACTTAAAGTCTTGGTAAAAAAAAGATTATGTCTATGGGTCCCATTCTGAACGGCCCTGTCAAAGGGACCCACCAGGTAACAAAAACGTGTATGTGTGTGTGTGCGTGTGCGTGTGCGTGTGCGTGTGTGCGTGCGTGCGTGCGTGCGTGCGTGTGCGTGTGCGTGCGCGTGCGCGTGCGCGTGCGCGTGTGTGTGTGTGTGTGTGTGTGTGTGTGTGTGCACTTGTTTTCAACTCCTGGTGGGTTCCATAACCTGAGATTCCACTCACGTTATGGGGACTGGTTTTACGTGGTGGGGCCCGAACACCGGACCCCACTGGTCCAAGCTTAATAATCAATGGGTAATGCTTTTCTAACGGTCCTTATGCAGTCTCTGTAAAAATATGGAAAGGACCCCTGGAGGTTTACTTTCCTGAAAAAAGTGTGTTATGTGTCGGAACCCTGGTGGTGGGTTGCGGGATATCAAGGAGGGGCACACTGGGGCAATTTCAGTCCAGCAGGCTGGAGCCAATCATGGAGCAGCACAACAGAGGAAATCAGGTGTCAGGCTAGAAAAAGGTGCAAGTGTGTGGTTCATTAGGCTG